TCCTAAAGTAACTTTGCATGATTTTCCGTTATACACCATATGCAGAAGCATGAATTGAGAAGTCTTCACAACAGAAATAGCTTGTTCTGTATTACAGGACTCCAGATTGAGTGAGGGATTCATCCTAACTAACAATAAATATTGTTATATTAATGCTTCAACACAGTCTCTTATAATGAGTACTGTAGAGAAAGAGGCATAGAATAAGTTTTTTACTAACTAAGAAAAAATAATAAATCCAACTCTCTCTTTATCAAACAATTTATCTGGAATTACAACCTGTGTCATTGAAGTGTTTTTATGAATTCTAGGCAATATCTTCTCTCTAACTTAAAAAATAAGTAAAAATAAAAAAAAAACTTAAACCCCCCCCAACCATCTCACCCCCATCATCACATGCTAGGAGGAGAATAGTTTTCATCAATTATTAACTATAGATACCCAAGTAAGAAATAGTCTGTTTAACGGTCATATCAGGGATCAATCACATGTGAGGTTTACCAGCCTTTACAATGTTGGCCTTTTGGCTAGGCTAATTATTTGTTGTGAGGTACTATCACATGCATTGTAAGATGTTTAACAGCATCTCTGATGTCTGCCTACTAGGTTCCAGTTGTGACACTAAAAAATGCCTCCAGACATTGGTAAATATTCCCCCTGGGGTCGGTGGTAGAGGGGATGCCTGCAGTTGAGAGCAACTGGTCTACAGAAAAGACTGTAATTGACCTAGCTTAGATGAAGTGCATAGTGCTGGGTAAGTTAGCTGTGAATCAAGCAGCAAGGATCAGTAAAGTGCAGCATAATCTATCTGAATCTATATGGCTGCTCCTTTAAGAGATGCTGAAAAGTCAATCTACTAAGTGAGTGTCTACCACACTGCGGAGATTCCCTCTAAGGTTTGGCTTTTGTAACTTTGCTCTTTGTTGAAGTTGTGCTATGGTTTGAATGTTTCTGTCCTCCTAAAACTCATATGTTGAAATATTAACAGAAGAGGTGATGGTATTATGAGGTGGCACCTTTGGGAAGTGATTAGAAATTAGATCATGAGAATTAAAGGAACTAATGCCCTTGTAAGAAAGGCCTAAGAGAGACTCCACAGCCCTTCTACCATGTGAAGACATAGAGAAAAGGCACCATCTGTGAACCAGAGAGCAGACCCTTACAAGATGCTGAATCTACCAGCATCTTGATTTTGGACTTCCCAGTCTCCAGAACTATGAGAAATAAATATCTGTGGTTTATAAGCTATCCAGTTTATTTTATTTTCTTACAGTAGCCAGAACAGACTAAACCATGCTATTAAGCTCTTTATTGTATTTATTTTTAAATTTTGCCTGTAATTATTTCCTATTTGTTTTAAAGTTTTTCCTTTGTTTTAGATATTTCTATTATCCTTACAGTTTTAATATTCTGTCATCTTCAAGTAAGCTTTAAGTTGATTTTTGTTCAATCTGTTAGAATGTTTTTTTTTTCTATTGAGTTCTCATTAGTATAACCTGAAATCTACTAGGCAAAATGTGTGGGTCTTATTGTGTCTGTATTTCAGGAAGAAATTAAGCGTGGACAGTCATAAACATATATTTGAGGGTCACTTATTTATAAACCTTGGAAGTCTCGGGCCAAGTTAGAAGCTAGTGAAAAGGGCTTAGAAGAACAACCCCTCACTACCATAAAGTTCAATGTTTTTAACATTCTGGCTGGGTAATCAATGCTTAAACATCAAAATGATTTTGCTTGAAGTATTTTCTTAGATCCCCCAACCCACTGACCTAGAGAAAAGATCAAGATTTCAGCCCTTCCCTCAAGAGAAATGTTGCAAGCTGATTTTGAGAAACTCAGAAGAGAAATCCTAAAACATGAGAACTTTGTTTTGAAATAATAATGGTTGAAAGAGCTGACAGCTTCCAGAGACATTGTGAGATCGGCCAGATTTCCCTTTCAAAATCATTCCTCCCCAAACCTAGTTAAAGCAAGGGCAAAGGGGCCCCATTCTGTAGCAGGATATCAAAGCACAGGCAATGGCAGAGTTTTGAGGAACACAGACTCCTAGTGACAAAGCAAATTGCTTTCAGCAAACTAAGCAGAGCATTCTGGGTGATGGTGACAGTATAACAGCAGTCAGAGTTGGGTGCAGTCAGGAATTTGTGTCTATCAAAGTACAAGAGGGCATCTACTTGTGCCCAGTAGAAAACACTTCATTGGCATCAATCCCCAACAAAGATGGAGGTACTAACACCTGCCAGCAAACGCAATTATGAAAGAAGGATGATAAGCTCAGCCTATTTTGGATGGATTGGGAATTAATGTAATTCCATCACTAATTGGTGATTTGGGAAGAAACAGAGGCTACAGAGGTAGATTTTATGGCTCAGAGAGGACACATCAATTCCATTTTTTTTACCTAAGACATGCTTTCGGAAGGAGCTTCTTGTTACTCGGGGGAGAAGAGAGAAGATGCTAAGTTACATACCAAGGGTCCACTATGATATGGAGCAAGCATTTTATAACTTCCAAATATACAAGTAGCATTGTGAAGTTCTGAAAGATAAACTCAATACATTCTTACCCCTCAGGGAGCTTATAACACAGTGAGGAATGGAACAATTGAACAAACAGAATATATAACAGCAAATGTCATACAAGAATGCTACTTTGACTAAGAGGAAGAAACATTCATACATTTTTAAAAATCAAGAATAGCATTCTGACCAACTGAACATATAAAATAGATTCAAGTACAAACATTTAAGAGAGAATTTCAGGAGCCCACATGAGAGTTAATGAGATTCTATGCTAGGATAGTGGCAATGAAACAGAAATGACAGAATGGATTTGTGAAATGTATAGCTAGCATCTTCAAGATTTGTTGACTAATTGCATGTGGGAGAGGATTGAGATGGGGAGACAAGTGAGCACTGGGAATCGGGACAATGGAGATAGGGTTAGCTGAAGTAAGGAAGAAAAAGGGAAATTGGATGGAAGATGGCAAGCTTGCTTTTTGAGATGCGGCCGTGAATACACGTCACTGAGTATACAAGAGGCTGGTGATTATATAGGCTGGTACACTGCATGCATAAGAACTCGGTGACTGTATAGAGTGTTGTCATCTCGCCTTATTTTCCGCTGGTGAGGACTCCTGTCTTCTGATTCTGTCTGTTCAGTCACAGCCCTGGTTTAAAGATACTCTGCAAAACTTAAGTATTTATGCCTTGAAAGCCAGTGCTTAGGATTCATCCTATCACCACCGCCTCTACCCTGTCAAATCTTTATTTAGCCTTAGCTCCCTATGAGTAACTCAAATGCCTACGGTTTTATTTTCCTGCATGTGCTGACGCTGACATGATTGGGATGAGCCCGCTCAGCTGGAATGGAAGAGTACGCCATTATAAAAGCTCTGTCAGGGGAGGAATGACAGACTGTGGCAACTCAGGGGCTGTCTCTCTCTCTCTCTCTCTCTCTCTCTCTCTCTCTCTCTCTCTCGTCTCTGTCTTTCTTGCTTCTCAGCACAGTCTGACAGAACTTGATATGTATGCTGGAAGGATAAAATTTAGTCTCAAGACACGATTCTCTATAAATCAAATGAAGCATTTTTACTAAATTGAGTCTCTTCAGCTCTTCTCTGAATTCTCCACGTCAGCATACAATTGCCTCAATCTTCCTTTCTCTACCACTTTATGCTCATAAATTTCATTTTCGTGTCTAACAGCTTTTATTTGCTTGGGTCTATTTTTCAGTGTTATTGAAGATTTTTTGATATTTACTCTTTCCTGTTTATAAAAGGAACATGTACTCATTGCAAACATGACTTGATTTGGAAATTAAGAAAAAAATATAAAGAAGGAAATATGTGACCCAAACTCTCATCATTGTTAACATTTTAATCCAGTCTTTTTCCTCTTATGCACATTTTAATTTTAAAACATAGTTGGAATCATACTATGTAAATAATTTTCTTTTCTGGTATTTGTAACCATTATATTTTTAGAATTTTGTCACATTATTAAAATTATTTTAAATCATTTTTTATATCTTCATGAAATTTTATTATTGTGGTTGTTGTATTTTTCTTTATGGTATTAGCTCCTATACTGATTGCCTAACTCTGGGCTATGCATGTGTCTATATACAGCTAAAAGAGAAAAGGGAAAGAATAAAAACCAAAATGATATAAAGAAAAAAAATGACATATATATATACATACATCATATATATGATGTATATATGACTACAGGCATGACTACAGTAGCTGACTACAGGCATGTGCTACCTTGCCAGGCTAGTGTGTGTATGTGTGTGTGTGTGTGTGTTTAGTAAAGACAGGGTTTCACAATGTTGGCCAGGCCTGTCTTGAACTACCGACCTCAGATGATCCGCCCACCTCAGCCTCCCAAAGTGCTGAGATCACAGGCATGAGCCACCGCACCCAGTCATGTTCTGTAAATTTTAAAAACAAATTCTATCAAATTAAACAAGTAATAGTTTCTCTTTTAAGTAAAATGTTCCTACACATTTTACATAAAGTTGGCATGTAAAATGTCAACTTTAAAATGGAGAAGATCTGAAATAATGAAGAATCTTAATTTAGCAAAAGAAATTGGATGGAAGTCAAGGTTTTGGACATGAAAGAGGGTAACAATGGAGATGTGTACATTCTCCAAATTCAGCAACTGTCTCTAAAGGAATGGCAAATAAAAGACTGGAAACAAGCTAAAACATTGAAATTGTAAGCTCTTTTTCTTTTGCTGGTTGTAAGTTGATAATTTTAACTCTGATATTTTGTTTGAAATGTAGATGTTTATTCTTTCCATCCATGGTGGAAAGAAATGTCTTCCAAGGGTGGGGAGTATGGGGAGAGGAGATGTATTCTGACCTCAAAATTATGTGACAGTGTTTCCAAAATATATTTGTTTGAACAGATACTTTCTAAGCATATGTTATAAAATACTTAATTGGAGGCATTAAATTTTCATTCATAAACATAAGAAACTTCTTTCTGAAACTTATTTTTGTTTATTTCCATAGGTTATTAGGGAACAGGTGACATTTGGTTACATGAGAAAGCTCTTTAGCTGGTGATTTGTGAGATTTTGGTGCACACATCACCCAAGTAGTATACACTGCACCCTATTTGGTCTTGTAACACTTGCCCCCTTCCCACCCTTTTCCTCTGAGTCCCCAAAGTCCATTGTGTCATTCTTAGGTAGTGCATCCTCATAGTTTAACTCCCACTATTGGCTGAGAACTTAACAATGTTTGACTTTCCACTCCTGAGTTACTTCACTTAAAATGATAGTCTCCAAGCTCATCCAGATTGCTGCAAATGCCATTAACTCATTCCTTTTTATGGCTGAGTAGTATTACAACATATGTGTGTGTGTGTATATATATATAATATATATATATATATATATCTCCCAGTTTCTTTATCCACCTATTATATATATAATATATATTATATATATATATTTCTCCCAGTTTCTTTATGCACCGATTGATTGATGAGCATTTGAGTTGGTTCCAAGTTTTTGCAATTGTGAATTGTGCTTCTGTAAACATGTGTGTGCAAGCATCTTTTTTGTATAATGACTTCTTTTCCTCTGGATAGATACCCAATACTGGGATTGCTGGATCAAATGGTAGTTCTACTTTTAGATCTTTAAGGAATCTCCACACTGTTTTCCACAGTGGTTGTACTAGTTTACATTCCCAGCAACAGTATGGAAGTGTTCCCTGTTCACCACATCCATGCCAACATCTACTGTGTTTTGATTTTTTGATTGTGGCCATTCTTGCAGGAGTAAAGTGGGATCACATTGTGAAACTTATTTTGACCAGAATGAATGTATAAATTATATATGCCAAGTTGGAAAACTGTAAATCTTATCAGCTTCTGGTTAAATGTGTGATTTGTCTGTGAAGACATTAAAAAAAAATATGAACTTTGTCTACTCCAGAATGATCTATGGTTTTCAAGCATAGTGAAGTAAGACAGACTCTATATGAGGCGAGTAAACTGCCACCATAAGTTAAAATATATCTGAAGCCATAGCTTTTTTTTTTTTTTAATGGATTTTCCAAGAAACTTCACTTTCAGGGATAAGTAAGATCTTGAAAGGCTGAATTAAGCAACATATCAAGGAGGAAAAAATATATATACCTAAAAATGAAACATACCACATCCAGCTTCTAGTGGGAGAAATGGGCATGGAGGGAGTCTTCTGAGCCAGTTCCACCTTGAGACAATGCTTCAGAATCGAGAAGGGGAAGAATCTAAGACAATTCCCATTTTAGTAAAGTTTCTGCATGATGTTTCTTAAGTTAATCTGTATAATTTTAAGTTTGGCAATTTTTATACTAAATGTTTTGTTTCAAATACAAAAATATCTCAGTAAAAGTATATTATATAACATAATATAATATAATAAAACTGAAAGACATAGTATCTCTCAATTTGGACATTTCCTTATTAGATGCTGCTAATTAAAATAGAAAAATGTTTACTGGTGAAATAAGCTGTGTCTATAACTCAATTTTTAAAGGTGGCCACATGTTTCATCTCTGGTATAATCATGCAGATTATTACAGAAAATGCATTTTGGGAATATGGAAAGGGCATATTTCAACCCATGCAAAGAGCGTTACCCTGGATGAGATTATATTTTCCTTTAATTTTCAGAGAGATTTGTGCTATGTTCAGATGATGCTAAAATTCTGTTTGGATCTATATTCTATAAAATCAATTTAAATTTCTTAAATGATAGAAGGGGAAATAATACATATTTATACTACACACAGTATTTGCTATACTCATGCATTCTTATGCATTTTTACCATGTTGTAGAGTACATCAGTTCTTCCTAAAGACCAAAATGGGCATTCTTTCATAATATGCTTGGGTAAAGTAAAATTGTGTTTTTAAACAGAAATAACAAGTTTCTAATGTTTTAAACAAGAATATAATAAGCAAATGGTTTAATCTGAGAATATCTAATATTGGCTTATCAAAGATTATGAAAGGATGTTGTATTAGAGTTAACAATAGTTACTTTGAAAAAAGAAAAATAACCTGAAATAATTAAAGTAAGGAAGAATTTGAAGTTAAATAAAAACATCAGAATAACGCTAGGAATGGTGGCTCACACCTGTAATCCCAACACTTTGGGAGGCTGAGGTAGGTGGGTCACTTGAGTTCAGGAGTTCAAGACCAACCAACAGAGCAAAACCTCATCTCTACTAAAAATACAAAAATTAGCCAGTCGTCCTGGTGCGCACCTGTAATCCCAGCTACTTGGGATGCTGAGGCAGGAGAATCACTTGAACCCAGGAGGTGGAGGTTGCAGTGAGCCAAGATCACACCACTATACTCCAGCCTGGGTGACAGAGTGAGACTCTGTCTCAGTTAAAAAGAAAAAAAATCAGAATAAACCCATGACTCTAAAAGACTTTCATTGTCACAAGAACATTTCAAACAACCGTAGATGTCACCCTGCCTGCAATGGAAGCATGGGAAACAATCTACTTGATACTCAGACTTGGGTCTCTTATGCTGATTCGCCACAGAAGGTATCAGCAGATAACTTGGGCCAAATATTAGAAAATCAAGATAAGTCTGGAATAGACAGTTGTAACAAGAAAATAAGAATATCTTCATAGATGATTCGCGTATTTAAGGAAAAAAAAAGACAAAAAAGCTTAGTCTGTTTTGTGCTTCTGTAACAGAATACCTGAGATTCAGTAATTTATAAAGAACAGAAATTTATTTCTCACAGTTTTTGAGTCTAGAAAGTCCAAGATCAAAGTACTGGCATTTAGTGAGGGCCTTCTTCTTATGTCCTCACATGGTGGAAGGCAGAAAGAGGTAAACCCACTCCCACAAGCGCTTTTTATAGCAGCATTAATCCATTGATGAGGGCTGTGAAAATTGTCAAAATCAAAATGGAGTCACTTGTGTTAAAAAACCTGACAAATGGAGCTGAGGAAGGCTATGAAGGAGGTGTTCTGGTGCGTGAATTCTTGATATCACAAAAGACTTTGCAAAACCACAACCAGCACAAAAGCCATCACAACCTTACACATAAAAAAAAAATACTTCTGGGTGGACATCTGCTTAGCAACTCTGTCCAGTCTTGGACTGAAACCACCTTTGTTATTCATTCTTGTAATCAACAATAATTATCTCAAAATGATTATATAATCCTACTCATTTTTTCTTTAAAAAACTTTGTCTTCCTTTACCTCCCTCAATATACACATAATTTCCTGTGGAAGATGTACATATTTCCATTGTAAGGCCCATTCCCAAATAAACATCATTTCTTCTAGAGTCTTCCTCTTCATTTGTTATTTAGGCTGACAGGTCAGAGCCCTCATGACCTAAACAACTCCCATTAGGCCTCATATCCCTTTCAACACTGTTGCAATGGGGACTACATTTCCAACATGTGAAATTTTGGAGACACACTCAAATCATAGCAAAAAAAAAAGGCATGTTGAAAAGAGCTCCCATATACCAAGAAGTGACAGGTAAGCATCAGGAGAAAGCCTACCAGCCAGCGATTGGTACCAATTGAATCTTTAAAAAGAGCCATGAATTCATAACTATTCTAAAAATAAGAGGTGGGAGAAGGGACAACATACTAAAAAAATAAGATATATACCTTCAAAATAAGCTTTATAAAATTATGGAATAATGATCAAGTTACCTGAATCAAACATTTAGAGCATTGGTCAACACAGATGTTAATAATATCAAATGGTAAACAAACATAAGAAGCGTGTATTTGTAATTTTTTTAAGTTAAGGAGTATTAAAATACATTTTGACCAGCCAGACTTAGAGATATTTAAAAATTAGGGTAAAACAGTTAGACTGATGGCTGGGCACAATGGCTCACACCTGTAATCCCAGCACTTTGGGAGGCCAAGGTGGGCGGACCACCTGAGGTCAGGAGTTCAAGACCAGCCTGACCAACATAGAGAAACCCCATTTCTACTAAAAATACAAAATTAGCCAGGCATTGTGGCACATGCCTGTAATCCCAGTTGCTCAGGAGGCTGAGGCAGGAGAATTGCTTGAACCCAGGAGGCAGAGGTTGCGGTGAGCCAAGATACTACCATTGTACTCCAGGCTGGGCAACAAGAGCGAAACTCCATATTAAAAAAGAAAAAAACATAAAACAGGTAGACTATTGGGGAAAGTGGGTAAAGAAATAAAGAATAAAACAGGCATGTAAATACATAAAGAACACAAGAAATAATAATGATATCATAAAATTAATGCTACATTTAATAATCCACATTACTTTAGAATGGTCTAATCCAGGAGTCTCTGTGAAATAAAAGGAGTTGTTTAAATGGGGTTGGACTACTCTGTCTTCATTCTGCTTTGGAGAGATGGAGATCTATAGAAGTTCATGAACAATGTGACCCAATATGGAATCATCTCAAACCTACCTTCTCTAATAAACCAGAATTCCTAACAAAATTTCCATGCTCAAGAGACAGGTGATGGATTAAACAAAAATAACTATCAGAATAATTAAGCTCAATCTCACAGGACTAGAGGGTAAGGGAGGGTTGTTGGACTCTTGTTTTAAAATGACCTGATAAAGACTGTGTTTTCCACCATCATCTTAAAAATAATTCTAAAATAGAAAAGAGGATCACGAATGTCAATTCTATCTGTCTTTGATGAAACTAAGAAACATCTGAAAGCCCAAACCATAAGGATAGATGTCAAGACAGTACAGGACATTTTAGTGTTGGAAACGCCTGTGGACCAGACAGCATTCTAGTTCTCTTCAATGCTGAGGTTATAGGATGCCTCTGCTCATAACAAAGGAAAAGCAAAAGGACCTCTAGTCCTTAACTAGGGACAAAATTTCCTACCAGGAATGTATATATTTTTGCCAATGTAATGCATGTCACAGCAGAAAGTGGACACATTAGGCTAGATTATCCTACCCATTACCTTTATCCAGTTTCTACTATCCTATTTCATTATACATAGTTTAAGATCTTATTTTGGCTTCCCATATGGACTTTGTGGAAGGATGAAAAATGTTTTGACTTGCTAGTTAGACTATTCAAGTCACTTAGCAGTTAGATTTCCTAGGGAAATTAATGA